GGTTTTATGGGATTACAGGCGTGCACCACCAGCCTGGCGCAAGGACCTTGTTAAACTTGTTTGTTCTTTGACCTTGTGATAGGAGGAACTCAGAGATAGCCAAAGATCTGATCTTCTCTGTAAGAGTCAAAAAATCAGGTCTTTGCATACAAATAGTTGCTTGGTGCTTCCTGTTGGGGTGCCTTTAAAAGGAGCTGTTTCTGTGAAATAAACCAGACCTCTTGTCTCCACACTATTGAGTGTGCTGTCCTTTCTCAATCCTCATTGCCCAACTCAGATACGTTCGTGTTGTGACGGCTGGACCGCCACAGTGTACATAGTGAATTCAGCCTGAACTGAATAGTGAGACCCTGTCTCCAAAAGAAAAAAAAATGGAGTTGGGCATGTAGTTAGTGATAGAACATGGGCCTATATGCTGGGTCCTGGCTTCAATCCCCAGCATCACCAACAAAATGATCTAGTTATTTCTTGTGCAATAAAATACCCCAACACTCAGAGACTTGAACCTTATTTATTTTGCTTCCACATTTGTAAATTGGGCTGGTACCAGCTAAAACAGCTGGTCTCTTTCTGCTGCACTCAGCATCAGCTGGGACAGCTTAAAGACTGAGGACTGGGATCACCTAAACTCTTGCTTGGTAGTTGAAGATGGCTGTCAGATGGGCCCACTAGAGCTTTGGCAGGAACGCTTACGTGTAGCTTTTGAACGTGGCCTGAACTTCATATTCCAAGGGCAAGTGTCCAGAGAGAAAACTGCCAAATAGTTGCTGCATCGCCCACCCCACCCCCGAGACACACACACCCACTGTGTTGGCTTAGGATGGAACCCATGCTAGGCAAGAACTCTTACCAATGAGCTACACTCCTAGCCCTACATTGCTAGCCTTGAAGTCAGGGTTAGTGCTGCCACCTGCCACTTTCCTGTTTCTTAGAAAGGAGTCAGTAAGGCTGGCTTGTATCCGAGAGGATGAGTCAGCTGACTCCTTCCTGGGACAGGAACGTTACAGCGATTGCAAAACCTTTTAGAACTCTCAATAGTAACAAACAGCCAACTGCGTATGTATGCCATAGGTGTGTCACCACTGCTCCAGTCTGCTCTGGGTAGGACCTGCTCTTCCACGAAGCCAGCAATGGCAAAGCTTTTAGAGCTTTCACTGATAACAGCCCGCTGTGGCTCACATGCCCTAGGTTTGGTGCCATTGCACCAAGTCCTTCTTTAATGTCTTATATAGCATCTTTGCCTCAATTCACTTCTCAATGTGTCCTGGTATGAGAAGACAATTGCTCCCTAAGAGTCAAAGTAATACTTTATGAAGGGAACCCATAAACTTTTTGCACCTGTGCCATGCAAAAACTAGAGGCTCGCTAATCCTTGTTTCATTATAGCTTTGACAAGAATAATTCGTAACCACAAGTGCCGTCCTTTGTGACAATCAATTTTTAAATATCTGTGGAAAAATCCCTTTGAGAGTAAAAGAGAAGTTATTTATTCTAGTTCTTTATAAAATATTTGTAAAAACTTGGTTTAGGACCAGACTTCGGTCAAAGTTTGGCAGAAGGGCACAGGTTCAGTCAGTGGAGGAAACTGACCAAGAACAGTAAAAAAGAAAATGAGAGTATTAGAAACCTAGGTATTATGAGAGTGCCTGTGAGGGTTTACTGCTAGGCCATAATCTTCAGAAGCTTCATTTCAAAAGACTGAGAGGCCTGCACCTCTGTAAATAGGCTTGTTCTCACTCCGTTTTTCTTGCTCCAAGGATAATTCCTAAACCCAGCCTAGTGGCACAAGTCTGTAATCCCAGCACTCTGGGAAGGTAAAGCAAGCTTGGAGGTTTAAGCTTATCTTGGCAATTCAGTGACTTAGCAAGACCCTGTCCTGAAAAAAATTAAAAATGGGCTTGGGATGTAGCTCACTTCAAAGGCTCTATCCCCTCTCTGTGCGCACCTGTGTCTCTCTGTGTGTAGATAATTCCTAGTTTCAAGAAGGCAGGCATTTCACTGTAGAATCCTATCTTCAGGTTAAGCCTGAGAAAGAATTCTCTTTTTTTTTGAGACAGGGTCTCACTATGTAGTTCAGACTGACCTGGAACTCACTCTGTAGCCCAGGCTGGTCTCGAACTCACAGCTATGCCTCCCATGCGCTAGGATTACAGGCATGCACCACCACACCTGGCTCAAGAAAGAAATTATTAAGGGGACTTCCCAAAGATAGTTATTTGCAGACCTTAGACTACGCTGGGACTTTACATGTTTTTGTTTTGTTTTGCAATGCTGAGGATCAAAACCAGGGACTTGAGCACGCTAGGCAAAAAGTGAGACTAAGCTACATTCCCAGCCCAACATCTTCAATTTTACAAATGGGAAATAATAGAGCCCAACACTGAATAAGTGCTGCTTCACTTGCTATTGTGTGTGTGTGTGTGTGTGTGTGTGTGTGTGTGTGTATATATACATATATATATATATATTTTTTTTTTTTTTTAAACCTGGGATACAACTTGGGTCCTTATACTTGCCAGGCAGGTGTCAGCACCACTGAGATAAATCCCCACCCTAGCTATTGTTATTATATCTTCTATTCTTTCCCAACAGGGTACTTTCATTTAACTCATGTGAAAAGCACATTGTGTCCTTTCCTCGATTAAACAAAGCTGAAGGTGGTAAATTTGCATGACAAGAAGAAAATGTCAGCAAATGAACTCACATGTAGAAAATAGAACTACTGATTTATCTTCCTAAATATGAAATATTTGCATAAAAGTACTTATAGGACAAATTCTACAGAAAGTAAAAATTAGTTACAGTATTATGACTATGAGATGCACCAAATTAAAAGATTGGCTTTAAAACTTATTTTTCCTCAAGTACTACTGGGGATTTAACCTAGGTTCTTACACATGCTAGGCAAGCACTCTACCAGTTACTTCCTCAGTCCCATTATTTTATTATTATTTTTTTTTTGAGTCAAGAGTCTGCCTGTGTGGTTTGGACTGGCTTTGAGGTGGCAGTGATCCTCCTGCCTCAGCCTTCCCACAGCTCAGATAACAGGCCTGTGCCACCACACCTGGCTAAGCCCCAGTTATTCTTATTTTCTGGTACTGGGGATAGAACTTGGGACCTTTGCACTTGCAAAGCCAACGGCACAACCACTGAGCTAAATCCCCAGCCCGGCCCTAGTTATTTTTTTTTTATTTTTTTGGTTTTTTGAGATACGGTCTCACTATGTACTTCAGACTGCTCTGGAACTCACTGTGTAGCCCAGGCTGGTCTCGAACTCACAGCGATCCTCCTGCCTCAGACTCCCAAGTGCTGGGATTACAGGCATGTGCCACCATGCCCAGCTTCCTAGTTATTTTTTAAGACAGGTCTAAATTGCTCAGGGTGGCCTCCCATTTGGAATCCTACTGCCTCAGCATCTGGAGTATCTGAGATTACAAACCTGTGCCACCATGCATGGCCACGTCTTTTCTTTTTTTTTTTTCCTTTGGTACAGCGGATGGAATTCGGGTCCTTACTCTTGCGAAGCAGGCAGTGGCACCACTGAGCTAAATCCATGGCCCAACTTTTTTATAAATTACGAAAAATTGTTACTTGGTTGCTGTAATGCATGTCTGTAATCCCAGCACTGTGGGAGGCTGAGGGAGGAGGATCACAAGTTTGAGCCCAGCCTGGGCAACGCATTGAAACCCTGTCTGAGAAATTTTAAAAGGGCTGGCGATGTAGCTCAGTGTTTGGTTCAATCTCCAGTTACCACCAAAACCGAAACATGAACGGTACCTAAAAAAAAACAACAAACGGTAAATCAGCTGGGATGGCACATCTGTAATCCTAGCATTTGGGAGGCTGAGGCAATTGCTGCATGCTCAAGGTCATACATAGTAAGTTCCAGGCCAGTCTAAACTACACAGTGAAACCCTGTCTCAAAAAAGCCAAAAAAAAAAAAAAAAAAAAAAAAAAAAAGGATAAAAATGTATATTACCTGGCATTTCAAAACCGGAGACACCCAACAGTTGTTCTTTATATTTTTAATGTAAAACGTTTCAATAATTTATATGAATAATGCTAACTATTGTCTCTCCAGAAATCTCAAGTGCTTTCAAATGTTTTATAAATAAAGCACAGGGGGGAAAGTATATAAAAACGTTTCACTTACCCTCTCCCACTCTTGTGTTTATTTTTGTTTTGTTTTGTTTTGTTTGAGACAGGGTCTCACTATGTAGTTAAGACTGAACTGGAACTCACTATGTAGTCCAGGCTGGTCTCGAATTCACAGCGATCCTCCTGCTTCAGCCTCCCGAGTGCTGGGATTACAGCCTTGGGCCACCATGCCCGGCTGCACTCTTGTGTTAAGAGTATCAGAGTGCACCCAAATTAAAAAATATAATTAGTATAATTAATTACATTTTAAATGAATGGTTATAAGAAGATATCAGTCTGGGCCGGAGATTTAGCTCAGTGGCACCGCATCTGGCTCGCAAGCCCAAGGTCCTGAGTTCGATCCCCGGTACCAAGAAAAAATTAAAAAAAGGTATCAATCTAACATAATTATAATTATGGGGCTGCAGGAATTCTACTACCCCAGTTCAGGTGGCAGCAACCTCCCAGGTCCACGACCTGATCCACGGTCCCGGCTTTGCACTCTCTGGGAATCTTGAGGAATCTAGAGATTGAGGAATTTCGCAGACTGTTTCAGGGCAACTAACTCATGTTCCGAACCTAATCCCTAGTGTTTGACCCGAACAGGCATAAATTGGGGATGAGCCTCCAAACCGCTCTCACTAGTCTGGGCTGAGAAAAGCAGTAGGAAACTGAACCCAGAGAGAAACGAATGTCCAAGTAAGGGTAAAGCCATCCGCCGGAGTGTCCAAGCAACGCGTTAGCCCCCACAACGAGCGTCAAGTCTCCAGAGCTCCATTTTGGCTAGGAGGAGGCGGGTCATCTGCGCTACCGAGGCTGCGCGAACGGCAGCGTCCCGGGCGGGGCGCCTAGCGCGCGCGTCGCGTCGCGTCGCCGTGGAGACGTGGGCGGGGCCAGCACATGCATGCGTCTGAAGGTGCGCGAAGAGCAAAACCTAGCATAGGCCGCGCTGCCCTGCGGAGGCCTTCTGAGGCCTCTGGCTCTCATCGCGACGCCTCCTGGGCGCCACCCGGAGGTCTCGGCCTCCTCAGGTACAATGCCAGGTCTGATCGTCCTCAGCCTTTAACTAGCTCTGCTTCTCTGGGAACCCAGAAACGAGCGCATATGGTTCCGAATAAGGCCCTAGGATTTCTGGGGCGCCTCTGCTTTCTGCTCTTGTACAAGGTGCAGGTGGTAAGTGATGCTTCCTCACGGAGCTCTGGTCCCAGCAGTGGGATGCGAGGAGAGTCCCCAGAGTCCCCAGAACAGCGCTCAGAGCTCGTCCTCAGAGCGCGCTCCAGCCCTGGGCAAGACTTGGGTGTGAGCGAGTGCGAATCAGTTTAGGGGTCCCAGCTGTGTGGGTGGGCAAGCCACTAGGTGTTAGCATTCAGACCGTGACTTCTCCCCCGAAGTGAGAAGTGGGTGCTTCCTTTTTATCGGGAGGCCGTTCGTACGAGTAAGTCAGCCTCTGTGTATATGTGTATTTGAGATGGATGGCTTAGGCACTTGAATAGTAGTCCTGGTTCCACCCAGTTAGAGAGACATTGGGCATTTATCTATAAAATGAAGGTGGCAGGGCTGAAGATTTAGCTCAGTGGTTCCGCCGTCTGCCTCGCAAGCGCAAGGCCCTGGGTTCGATTCCCGCTAAAATAAAACAAAAGATGGCAGTCACCTGCTGAGGTGGTTGTGTTAAAGTAGTTAATTCAGGAAAATTGCTTAGTACTTAGGCTGCCACAGAGTATCTGCCTCTTAAAAGGTATTTTTGATTCTAGTCTATATATTTTAATTTTTTTTTGTGGGGGTGGGTACCGGAGATCGAACTCGGGACCTTGTGCTTACAAAGCAGGCAGCGGAGCTGGGTGTGGTGGCGCATGCCTGTAATCCCATCACTGGGGAAGCTGAGGCAGGAGGATTGCTGTGGGTTCGAGACCAGCCTGGGCTATACAATGAGTTCCAGGTCAGGCTCAACTATGTAGTGAGACCCTGTCTCAACCCCCCCGCCAAAAAAAAAGCAGGCAGTGGAAGCACTGAGCTAAATCCCCAGCCCTAGTCTATACATTTTAGAGTGGTACGTTCCTAAGTGTCCTGAAAGTGTGAGATATAGTGGTATCAGGGAAGGCTTCCTGGAAGTAGTTGAAACTTATTCTGGGGTTTAAAATAGATACTTCCTTGTTTCTCTTTAGTAAGAGCATTGTGTTTTTAGTCATTGTTAGAAGCTGCAAAATACTATAGAAAGTTCCAGATTTTTTTTCCAAATTAGTGTGAGGTTTAAAAATTAATATTAAAGGCCAGGGATTTAGCTCAGTGGTTTCACCACCTGCCTGGCAAGCACAAGGGCCTGAGTTCATTCCCTGGTACAAAAAAAAAAAAAAGAATAAAAATTAATATTAAGGCTGGGCATGGTGGCACACGCCTGTAATTCCAGCCTTTGGGAGGCTGAGGCAGGAGCATGCCTGCAAGTTTGAGGCCAGCCTGGGCTACATAGTGAGTTTAAGGCCAGTCTGAACTACACAGGGAGACCCTGTCTCAAAAATATTAATGTTAAAGTTTATAGCAGCAAATAGCCCCAAGCTCCATTCTTCTAGCTGTTTCTTTTGATATTATCAAGTGGAAATATCGTTACAGTGACATTTCTCCATTTGTTTTACACATTGTGTTGAGTGTTAGTCATGGGAAATATGTACTTAACTCATAATTTTCCTTTCCTCATCTCTCCAAGGTTTGTTAAAATAATAGTGTTTATGTTACATGACAGATACTTCTGAACCATTTGTGAAAGACCAATTTCAAATAAGGTCACATCATAAGTAGCAGGGATGGGGCCAGCAATTTAGCTCAGTGGTGATGCGCCTGCCTCGCAAGCTCAAGGTTCCGAGTTTGATCCCTGGTACCAAGAGAAAAAAAAAGCAGGGATTAGAACATTAGTCTATCTTTTTTGAAAACCCAGTTCAACCATGACACTGCTATTATTCGCATTAAGAAATAAAAACAAACTATATTATTGCCAGGCGTGGTGGCACATGACTGTAATCCTGGCACTGGGGAGGCTGAGGCAGGAGGATCGCTGCGAGTTCGAGACCAGCCTGGCTACACAGTGAGTTCCAGGTCAGAGTCTCAACTACATAGTGAGACCCTGTCTCAAAAACAAAACAAAACCAAAATCTATTATTTACTTAGTTCGTAATGAATATCTTTGGTAAAACTCATCACCACTTGAGAATGAAAACTGCACACTATAATGTCTACTGCTAAAACTGCTTGAAGATTTTTTTTTTTTCCCATATTGGGGATTGAACTCAGGACCTTGCACTTGCAAGGCAGGTTCGATGACACTGAGCCAAATCCCTGGCCCTTTGAAGATTTTGTTTTTGGTTTTTTGAGACAAGGTCTCACTATGTAGTGAGACTGACCTGGAACTCACTGTGTAGCTCAGGCTGGTCAACTCAGCAATCCTCCTGCCTCAGCCTCTCAAGTGCTGGGATTACAGGCGTGCGCCACCACGCCTGGCCCCTTTGAAGATTTTTATAGCTAACACTGACAGCCATAAAATTAACCTGGAGAAAAATTAAGAAATCTTGGCCCCTATTAGTGCTATTATGAAGGGAAGTTGCAGGTGTTAGAACGTTGCCTTGCCAGGAAGACTAAGCAAGCCAGTAACTGGAGGGTCAGCGAAGAATTAAGGCCTAATTGGCCTTTTCTGTGAGCGAAAGGGAGAAAGGCTGGACTCAAAGGTGACTGCGTATTAGGGAAAAGTTAAAGACAGTTGAGGTTAAGTTGTTTACCAGAGAATGAACTAATGGGTATTGGAGACCAGATGAATCTTATTACTTTGACTGCTTGTGCCACTGTTTGGGTGAATAAAAGTGGGGTGAGGCAAAGGCTTTGAATTCCTCTGCCCGCTAGAGGTTGGATCCTCCTGACTGCCCCCATGTTGAGCGGACTCTGTCTTTTTTTATTGTTGTTGGTACTGGGGATTGAACTCCAGTCCTTGCGCTTGCACGGTAGGCAGCAGCCCCTTTGAGCTAGATCCCCAGCCCTGCGTCTTTTTATTATTCATCCTCAGTGGCCCTTAGGTCAGAAAGGAACAAGGCAGTGCCTCTGCTCCCGGAGCAAGGCTGGCGGGGAGAGCTGCCTACAAGTCACGTCTTTTGATTGTGGCTCTTTCCTTTCTTAGAAAATGAGTTAAAGCAATTTAAAAAGAATATTTTAAGTCAGAGACCTCTTATGCTCATCTAGTATTGAATTAAGGGAAGAGGTGGGCCAGGGATTTACCTCAGTGGTTCCGCCAACTGCCTTGCAGGTGACAGGTCCCAAATTCCATCCGGGTACAAAAAAAAAGTGGGGGGGGGCAAGGAACTAGGAGCTGGGAAAGAGCTGATTAAAAATGTGACACCTGTGTGAAGATAATTTACTCTTTTGCTCTCCTTTCTCTTGTAGTTAGGAGGAAAAAGACTTTTGATACCTGAATAATCTCACTAGGAAGTGTATTATCAAGCCACTGGTTGAATTTTCATCAACGGATTAGGCAGAGCATGGAGAAGAAGGCTGATGGCAGGTGAGAGACCGGACGTGACAAAAATAACTGAAATTATGGTTTGTAAACATTGTGTGTGTAAAACTAGTAATGAAAAATAAGAAAGCTTCCCGGCCAGGAAAGCTGATTTAGCTCAGTGGTGCTGTGCCTGCCTCACAAGCACAAGGTCCTGAGTTCAATCCCTGGTGGTGGTCGTGGTGGGGGCGTTTCATAAATAATGAGTGATGATATAGGAAATCGTACCGGGGCTTGAACTTGGGTCCTTGCGCTTTTGAGGCAGGAAGCGGAACCACTGAGCTAAATCCTCGGCCCTTTTTTTTTTTTTTTTTTTTTAGTGGTACCGGGGATTGAACTCAGGTCCTTCTGCTTTTGAGGCAGGCGGGCAGCAGAACCACTGAGTTAAATCACCGGCCCCAGGTTAGGATATTTTGTCATTGATATTTTGTTTCTCAACTATAATGTAATGCAATATAATATAAATTAAAATACATTACATATAAAATAATTTTATACATTATTTTGCAGTAAAAAAATCATTTTGAGCCAGGTGTGTTGGCACACACTTGTGATCCCAGTACTCAGGAGGCTGAGACAGGAGGATCACTATGAATTTGAGGCCAGACTGAGGTACATAGTGAGTTTAAGGCCAGCTCTAAGTTAGACCCTGTCTCAAAATACCAGGCAGGCACATCTTTTTTTTTTTGTACCAGGGATTGAATTTGGGACTTGTGCTTGCAAGTCGGGTGTTGGAACCACTCAGCTAAATCCCTGGCCCTAGGTGAAAACTTTTAAAAAAATAAAAAGGGGCAAGGACATAGCTCAGTGCTCAGTACCATTAAAGAAACAAACAAACAAAAAAAACCTTTTTGAGCATGTGAAAATATCCATTGTTAAAATTGGGTTTTTTTTTGTTTTTTTTTGTATATTTGGCTTTTTTTTTTTGAGGCAGGGTCTCACTTTAGTTCACGGTGGCTTTGAACTCAAGGGTAGTCCTCCTGGCTCCGCTTCCTGAGAGCTGGCATAGGTGTGTGCCATCATACCTGGCTGTCAAAATTTTTATTTAAAAAAAAATAAAATTGTAATTTTGTGACTGGGTTTCCGAGCATGTGCAAGACTCTGGGTTTGATCCCCAGCGGTGAAAATATTCTGATTTTTGAGTAGATGTGAGGATAATTTTCCAATAGTTAAAAGTTCCATCACCCAGGTTGGTAGACTCTTGTGTCTTTCCCCTACTTTAATCATGGTACCTTCATCCTGTGTGAAAGCAGAATCCAACCCTGTCTAGGAAAAAGGAAATAGACTAAGAAAGAGACTCAGATGTTAGCTCTAACAGGCTTCGGACTCAGAAGTGGCGTGTGACTCACAGCTGGTCAGAAGTATACCTCTGCCCAGGGCAGAGTGAGTTGTTCAGGAGTGGGTGGGTGACCTCATAGGGCCGTCAGAAGTTTTCTTAAGTCTCAGACAGTCCTATAAAGAGAGAGACCCTCCCTAACGCTGCAGTCACTGTGACAGCAGTTGTATATCCATTGCGCAGAAGCCATAGGGAGGGCTGGGGATTTAGCTCAGTGTTTTCGCCACCGTCTGCCTTGCAAGAGCAAGGACTCAGTTCGATCCCCATTACCTCCCCACCCCCCCAAAAAAGCAGTAGGGAGTTTATGCTGGAGGACCTTAACCAGTCATCACTCTGGGAGAAGCAGGAAGACCTACCAGTGTTGTCACACCACTCTACTTCTTTATTTTGAGACAGGAACCTGCTAAGGAAGGAAGGAAGGGAGTAAGGCTGGGGTATTTATACCCTTGGCTCCCTCCTTTTAAGGTGCCTTGGTGTTGACTATGCCTCTCCACTGATGATTAGAGCACCTCATAATGTGGATGACTTTGTTTTCTTCTGGGTTCTTTTTTTTTTTTTTTTTTTTTTTTTTTTTTTATTTGAGACAGGGTCTCACTACATAATTGAGGCTGACCTGGAACTCACTGTGTAGCCCAGGCTGGTCTTGAACTCACAGCGATCCTCCTGCCTCAGCCTCCCGAGTGCTGGGATTATAGGCACGCGCCACCACGCCCAGCCTCCTGGGTTTGGTTAAGTGTTCCATCCCCTTATCTTTTTGGGGCCTAGAGGTGATACCTGCATAGTTTATACTAGCTTCTGGTGCTTGCACTGTCCCCTGTGGTTCCTCTATACCCAAACTTTTGTAAATCCTCCATCTTCAAATAATATATATATATATATATTTTTGGTATCGGGACCTTACACTGGTGAGGCAGGTGGCGGCGCCACTGAGCTAAATCCCGGGCCCTTAAATAATCCTATTTGTAATATATAGAATGTTTATTTTTTATTCTCAAATTCATTTTGGTAATTTGTGTTTTTCTGGGAATTTATCTTTCAACTTGTCTAATTTACTTATTTTAATTTTTAAAAATTTTTTGGTGTTGGGGATCAAAGTCAGGACCTTGTTGTGCTTGTGAGGCAGGCAGGCAGCAGAACTACTGAGCTAAATTCCCAGCCCTTGTCTAATTTATTGGCATAAAGCTCACTATATGTTCTTCTAATTCTTTTAATTGAGTGGTAATATCTTCTCAGGCCTAATTTTGATTTTTTTTCTTGATTGACCTAGGAAAAGGCTTGTCAGTTTTTTTTAAACGGCTCTTGGATCTGAAACTTTGCTGTATCTTAAACTGACAGTGTTGATAGGAGCAGCACCCACTAAAAACTTTGAGTGTTAGTCTCTGATAAGTTTAGCGGATGAGCACATACATTGTTGCAGTTCAGCGCTGGAGGAATTGAGTGACTCCACCAAGAAGATTCTTGGGAGCTTGTACCTGATTTCTGCTAGATGCTGTTTTTGCTTTGTATTCTTCTGCTAATTCAATAAATACAGGCATGAGGACATTTATGTGCTGAATCCTGTGAGTCTTGTCTAGTGAGTTACTAAACTGAGCTGCATCCCAGGCCCCCACCTTTTTAAAATTGTGGTACAGAATCTTTCTGTGAAGCACAGGCTAGCCTTCATCACACGGTCCTGCTGCCTCAGCCTCCGAGGGCTGGAATTAAGGTGTGTGCTGCCATGCCTGGTGATGACCACTATGCTTTCTTTTTCTTTTTTCTTTTTTTCTGTACCTGGGATCTAACTCAGGACCTTGGTGTTTGCAAGGCAGGTGCGGTGCCACTGAGCTAAATCCCGGCCCTGTTTGTTTTCTGAGACAGGTTCTCACCGTTGTAGCTCAGGCTGGCCTTGAACTCACGATGTAGCCCAGGCTGGCTTCAAACTCGTGGCAATCCTCCTGCTTCAGCCCTCTGAGTGCTGAGATTATAGGCGTGTGCCGCCATGGCTGGCTGATCATGTTAGTTTTTAATTTGGATAGTTTATCCAGACGTGGTGACACGTGCCCGTCATCCCAGTACATGGGAAGCTGAGGCGAGGGATTGCAGTAAGTTTGAGGCCAGCCTGAAGTACATAACCAGACCCTGTCTCAAAAAACTAAAAGAAGCAAACAAAAAACCCCCCAATGACTTGGATAGTTTTCCACATACACTTTTTAAATAAAATTTTTGGATAAATATTATGCAAATACAGAAAAATAGCATAAAATAGTGAGTTATACGATAAATACCTTTGCAACTAATATATATATACACAATATATATATATATATATATAGTTAAAAAAATGGAACCTTGCTGGGAATACTGGCATGTGCCATTACTGGCTATGAATTCCTGTAGAGCTATCCTGTTAAGGAAAACCTTTCACAAATGTCCAGTGTTTGGCCAGGGGCTCAGCCATCTTCAGTTATAAATGGGTAAACTGAAGATATTATGGTTTAGAAGTCAGAAACCACTTTTCTAGATGAGAACCAAGACCTGTCATGTAAAGGTACAAGATTCCAATGATGACTATAACTGTACTGGATACCTATAACGTACCCATAAACTCAATGAGAGAGAGAAAAAAAAGAAACCACTTTTCTAAAAAATGTCAGGAAAAATCTAGATCTAATTTAGTTAGGAACCACACTCTGATATGTGATTGTGGTTCTGTAAGTTCTGGGAGGCTGAGCCTAAGGGAGCTCCACCGGTCAGTCAGCACTCCTTAAAGACGCGGGTATTTGAATAGTAGAGTTTTTGTTTAGATTGTGAAGTCCGTTATTTCCTTTAATTCCCACAACTGTGCAGTAGTGTCTGTGTTCACAAGTGAGGAAACTGAGGCTTGAGAGTGTAATGTAAGCACAAGGTCCTGAGTTTGATTCCTGGTACCCAAAAAAAGTATAATATGATTTGCCGTTTAATCCTTACAACTCTTATGGGATCAATGTTTTTTTCCCTTGAAATCTTATGTATTTCTACTATTCTATTCCTTAGCTCGCAGTTGTAAATATTCTTTGTAGATTATACAAATGAGTAATTTTCCTACTAAACCTGAGAGGCACACGATAGCAAGGAATATAATTTTTTGTTTCTGGTACCGGCGGTCAAACTCGGGTCATTGCACTTGCAAGGCAGGTGATGGAACCACTGAGCTAAATCCCCAGCCCCCCATCCTATTTTTTGAGATAGGACTTCACTCATTTGCCCAGGCTGGGTTTGAACTTGAGATCTTCTTGCCTCAGCCTCCTAGAGTGCTGTTATATTACATTGTGTACTCAGTTACATTGCATTGTATGACTATGCTACATTTTATGGCAAACTGTCACTTTTCTTTTCATTTAACTATGATTTATTATTAGATGTTTGCGGTACATAATTTTGGGGGGATGTTGAGACACGTCTCACTATGTAGTTCAGACTGACCTGGAACTCAACTATGTAGCCCAGGCTGGTCTCGAACTTACAACGATTTGCCTCAGCCTCCCGAGTGCTGGCACATCTTAATTCTGTTTTCATCCTCTTTCCCCATCTCCTCCAACTCTCTCTCTCTCTGCCCCCCTTTTTTTTGTACCAGGAATCAAACTAGGGACCTTGCACTTTTGAGGCAAGTGGCAGCACCACTGAGCTAAGTCCCCAGCCCTCTCCTCCGTCTCTCTTTTTTTTTTTTTCCTCATTGAGTTTATCGGTACATGTCAGGTGTACAGTACAGTTACATTCGTCATTGGGATCCTGTACCGTTACATGACAGGCCTTGGTTCTCCTCTCCTCCATCTCTTGATCCCCTTTGCATTTAGAAAAGATGTATCTCCCTACTCTTTTTTTTTTTTTGGTACCGGGGATCAAACTCAGGTCCTTGCACTTGCGAGGCAGGCAGCAGCACCACTGAGCTAAATCCCTGGTCCCCTACTTCTTTTTCATCCATCTTTACTTTGCTCTTCATTTATAATTTCGGTTTCTTACATAAGAAAAAGCATGTGATGTTTAAGCTTGTGTGTCTCCTGACTTCATTTAACATTACAGTCTCAGGGTGCATCCACTTTCCTACAAATGACTCAGGTTCATCATGGTGCAGTAGTAATCCATTGTGTGCAGATACCACATTTTCTTTATATCGGTTCATCTGTCAATGGACACTTGGGTCATTTCTAAATTTTGGCTATGGTGAGTAATACCCTAACCTTACAGCTTTTTATACAGAGACTTGTTGGATTTTCCAGCCTGGTCTTGAACACCTAGGCCTAGGTGCTCCTCTGGCCTCCGCCTCCTGAGTAAGTGGGACTATAGGCATTAACACAGCACCTGGCCACTTACCTTTTATAGTTGCCCTTGCTCTGTAGATATGCTCAAAACTGACTTTTCTTTTCTTTTCTTTCTTTCTTTTTTTTCTTTTGAGACAGGTTCTCTGTAATTCAGGCTGGCCTCAAACTCGTGGCAATGCTCCCTTCTCAGCCCCCCAAGTGCAGGGATGACAGGTGTGCGCCACCATGCCGGGCAACTTTTATGTCTTTACATATAATTAACTTAGTTGTTTTACTATATACATCTGTGTTTGTAGGGGGTGGAGATAGGGAATTCTGTATTTTTCCCAAGAGCAGTGATTCATTTCCCCCAGTGTTTGTTGTGACTTTATAAGGTATAACTAATGTGAGGGAGGATAGTGAGTTATATGTGGGCATATGCAAAAATAAAACAAACATGAGCAAAACTTCCCTTTCTACCCCTTTCCTCTCTGGTTCCAGATTCCATCTAGGACCACACATTGCATTTTGTCTTTATAGGTCTCTTTTAGTCACTTTCTGTTCCTGTGACAAAAACACCTGAGAAAATCCACATAAAAGGGGAAAGATGGGGCTGAAGATGTAGCTAACTGGCACTGCGCCCTGAGTTTGGATCCCTGGTACTGAAAAAAAATGAGGGGAAAGATTTATTTATTTTGGGGGGTATTGGGGATCAAACTGGGGACTTTGTCCTTGCAAAGCAGGTGGCAGCACCACTGAGCTGAATCCCAAGCCCAGGAAAGATTTACTTTATTTTATTTTATTTTTGGTACCAGGTTCTAACTTGGGCCCTTGCACTTATGAGGCAGGTGGCGAAACCACTGAGCTAAATCCTCAGCCCCAAAAGATTTTTTGTTTTTGGTTTTTTTTTTTTTTGTACTGGGGATTGAACTCAGGACCTTATGCTTGCAAGGCAGGCGCTGGAACTACTGGGCTAAATCCCCCGGCCCACAAAAGATTTATTTTTGATTGATAGTTTCAGAGGTTTTGTTACAGAAGCCATTGGTAAGTGACACACAGGTGGCAGAATGGAAGTAAAATAACAAAAGTTTATTCCGTCAAGAGTCGATCACACCTAATAGCAGTGCCCTGATTGACCAAGTACTAGGTTACAGATCCTTCTTTTATAGGGTTTTACAGCCTTGATTTCATTCAGGTGGTTACATTTCTTTCTCACGATCCACATCGCTTATATACAAATCATGGTTATAAGACAGTTGAATTTCAACCCAGGTGTAGCACTCCTTTGTTGTTAGTGGAGTTTACCTTTAAGATTTGTCTAGCTATCTCTTCTAGCCCAGGGGAAAGGGAATACAAAATTAATGATGGTTCTTTTCATCTTTACAATCTTGTAAAACTTTTGAGCTAGGGGGTCTTGCTGTGCCCTGTTATCTCAGAATAAGACTGGATGCCTCTAGTGTCTGCTGATTCTGAACTAAAGCAAACTGCTATTAGGGACGGCAGAAGTCATTTTACACTGTGACATTTCGTAGGTTTTTGCTATTATAAAAGTTACCTCTATCAGTTTCATTTCATGGCCCATTGGCTTCCTTGTTTTGGGGCCTAGGCAGAACATCACAGTGAGGAACAGGAGCTTCTTACAGCATCTGGAAGCAAAAAGGAGAAGGAGCCAGGGGCTGTGTACTCTTCAGGGCCACACCCCCAGTGACCTAACATCCTCCAAGTAGGCCCCACCTCCTAAAGTTTCCACCTTCTCTCCATAGTGTCCTCAGCTAAGGACAAATTCCTTAACACTTGAGAGCTTTTGCGGAACATTTAAGATCTAAACCTTAACAGTCCTATTCAGTTTGGAACTCTTGGTATTTCCTTATCTTTCAGGGCCTAGATATTTTTGAAGAGTTTAGACCATTTATATTTTGAGAATATTTCTCATGTTGGGTTTCTTCATCATCCTTATTCAGGTTACACATTTTAGCCAGGAATAACCAAAGAAATGATCCTGTGTCCTGAGTGTGTCAGGAAATACAGCATGTTAATTGATTCCACTTTTTTTGGTTTTTTGAGACAGGGTCTCACCATGTAGTTGAGACTAACCTGGAACTCACTATGTAGCCCAGGCTGGTCTCGAACTCACAGTGATCCTCCTGCCTCAGGCTCCTGAGTGCTGGGATTACAGGTGTGTGCCACCACGCCCAGCCTCTAGGTATATTCTTTATTAGTGAGATATCATTGCTTCTAGGTATTTCTTGTGGGCAGAACTCAGACATACTTTTTTTAAATCATAAGTTTATACAAATAACTCTACTTACCATGCAATGGGGTATAACTCTGCTTTTTGCGTTTATAGGGAGGTTATTTCTTAGTGTTTCTGAGATAGAATTAAAAGTCACCAATTCAGTGTATACTAAAAGCTTGTGATTTCATATTGATGTCAAAGTCATGTTGTTATTACTAATTGTTATTTTGGTACTCGGGATTGAACTCAGGACCTTGTGTTTGCGAGGAAGGCATGGTGCCACTGAGCTAAATCCTGAGCCCTCAAAGTCATATTATTTAAAATCTTTCCTAATTGTTTTTTATGTAAAGGAACCAGTTTCCAATTTTTAAATGATTTCCTTTAAAATTACATATTATAGGAAAAAAATACAGTGTGTGTTAGGTCTAATTACTCCAATCTATCTTGCTGTAGTTCCTAGAGTAAGACCCACCTCCAGTGACTGGTAAATATTTCCTTTACAGATTGGAATGCTTATTGCCCTGCAGCTTAATCATTTTCTGTTTCAGTGAGCTTATCTGTTTAATTTTGCTTGTATGTTAATAAATGTTGGCATTACATGCAGAGATATTCTTTTTTTTTCTTTCCTTTCCTCTCCATTCTTCAAATGTGAGGTCTTTCAGGGATGATGAAGTGAAGAAACCTTATTCTCCAAAGGCACTGCCCATAACAAAGTCTGCCTTCTCTGGGAGAGGCCGAAGAACCACCTGTCCAGTGAAATACGGCACCTCACACCCTGGGACCAGAAGAGGTCGGTTAAGAGAATTGCGCGTCAGGTGAGCTTCTTGGCTAAAATGATGGAAGAGCGACCAGGGATTTAGCTCAGTGGTGCCGCCGCCTGCCTCACAAGGGCAAGGTCCCAAGTTCAATCCCCGGTACCAAAAAGAAGAAGAAGAAGAAGATGCTCTTTTTTTATAACAGTATTCAGATGAAAAGGATATTTGGGAATCTGAAGACATAAAATCATTGAGCGTTTCATTTGAGTTCTCCAGTTGTGCCCCGCGAAGTATAATCTTTATAGACTCTTCCAGAAAAAGGCTAACATGGTCCAAGAAAAATGATCATTCGTTCAACAAGAATTTATCAGGTGCCTGCTCTGCCACCTTATATATTCCTTGCATGTAAGGTGAATGAGAGTATTGGTGCGTGAGTTCATGAAAGTTTAAAGTCGGTCTGAATGGACTATGAAGCCACAACAGCAAAGCGTGGTTCGGTGCTATAAGCAGAAGGGCGTGGTCTACACTTTCTGGAAAAGTGGAGTTTACGCCTGACTCCTAAAAGATAACGTAAGAATAAGCCAGGTAAAGGAGGAGAGGAAGAATATTCCCCGCTGAACCCAGAGACTGAACAAACCCACTTTGTGCTGAGTGCTGGGGAGACTGTTAGACAGGGTCCCTGCACTGAGTGGCTCTCATTGTAGAGGAAATGACAGACGGCGTGAGAGCCGTGACTGATTGGCTGTCATAATGTTACATAAGGGTTTTGATTAGAGCGCTGAGAGTGCACAGCTCCTCATTCTCTTTGGGCTGGGAAGGGTCTGGATAAGCGGACATTTGTCAGCAATTTTAGGCAGGAAGGATAATATGAACAAAACATTTATCGTGTACTTCTTTTTCCTCAAATCTGAAATCTTTTCTTCATTGAAAACAATACTTTACATTGAAAGTGTTTTTTTAAAAAAGTAATCTACCTGAAGCTAGGCATGGTGGTGCACACCTGTAATCCCAGCACTCAGGAGGCTGAGGCAGGAGGATTGTGCATTTGCAGCCAACATGGGTTACACAGCAAGTTCAAGACCAGCCTGGCTGAACTACAAAGTTGACCTTGTCTCCAACAACGACAAAGTGATAGTAATCTGTGCCGTGGGCCAACCCTGAAGATGGCCTTTCGCCTCATCCCTACTCCCTTTGTCCTCCTTAAACTAGGTGGACTCCTCCATAGAGTAAGATGTAGACCCTGGAAGGCGCAGCCCCAGGAGTTACATTATGTCTCCTTGTTCCTTCTCCGAGCACGCCCTGATCATGAGACAGCATGCTGCGTTTAGCCTAGACCACGTAGGCCACGTAGCACGAGTTACCCTGCCTTCTCTCTTACTTGTCTTACACCATAAACAAAAAGCACACTGGACTCCAGGCGGCCATCAGCTCACCGGGCTATGGTTCTACCTGATCCCAGCTTTCAAGCTTAATCTTGGTATGTGTCCTTCTTGTTATTTTTCAATTTTCTCCATCTCCTGCCACTCTCCCCAGCTTCAGACACTTTACTGAGTGGGTCGTGGCCTATATGTTTGACTTTAGCTTTATAAATCTATCCCCTCCTTTATTTGATAGATTAGCTATATCACCTTTTTTAAAACTTTTTTTTAATTTTTAATTTTTTTTTTGTACCTGGGATCCAACTTGCGACCTTGTGCTTGTAAGGCAGGCGGTGGCACCACTGAGCTACATCCCCAGCAGCCTCTCTCTGACCTTTTGACTCCTACTATTTTTCTTCCCTTGAGACTTTAAAAGGTTCCCTCTCCTTTCCAGAAAAGTGATGTAAGTCAGGTGGACTTTTAAGATGTACTTAACTCCTCTCCCCCACTTTTCTCTCTCTCTCTCTCTCTCTCTCAGATGCGTGACCAGAAAATTCTTGTATTTGTGGATTCGAATGACTTTTGGAAGAATATTTCCTTCGAAAGCCAGGTAGTATTAGCACTTAATACCAAGTTTCTTCTGAGCTCATTCTGAGTTTTTGTTTCATATTCAGCATCTGCATGACCTTTATGATGGCACGTGTTAGTACATTCCTGTGCTTGTCTGCCCAGGCTCCATCAGTTAGGGACGGTACTTAAAATGACCGTGTAAAACATTGGGAATTTCGTGACATTAGTTGACTGGATGAATATATGAAAGAATGATATGTAAGTAAAGCAGAATTGAGACCTCTCTGGGGAAAAAAAGAATTCCCCAGAAGGAAGAGAGTTCGGGGCACTGGTGAGATGGACAGATTGACTTGATCTGGGGAGGAAAAGTGAAATTAGCAGAAAGAATGAAATTTTAGTGAGGAGCAAATTTCCGCCATATTCTAGTCTTTATAT